CTCCGTGGCGCTGCCGTATCGTTCCGCCTGGGCGGGATTCTGACTTAGAGGCGTTCAGTCATAATCCCACAGATGGTAGCTTCGCCCCCACATGGACTAGTTTTTAATATCTCTTTTTAACGGGTATAAAGAAAGGACATTTTCATACACTTTTGGTGGGAATATAAATTGGTACAGCATTTCTTTAGGGTAATTAGGTAGCAACCAACTGTCAACATAAAAAACATGTATCTTTGGCGAAAACTTCTACCTTTTTAAGTTCTAGTTTGCATGCACATGCAAGAACGTGTGTAAAAAGATACTCACTTAATCAAAGAGAAGTTGTAGGTATTCTCTGTGCCCTTCCATAAGAGCGTGGGTATATAAATCATTATATGATTTTCCTGGAGAAAACTATTACGTTATCAAAAAACAAAACAGGCAGCTCTTCATGTCCCAACAGGGGACGATGGCCTTGATGTTTTACAGAGTGAAAACCTAGGTGTGTGACAGTATTATATTTATAAAGAAACAAGCCTATATGATTTGATTTCATAATTGGAAATAATTTGGATACTTAATATTTTTTGTCCTTTTTTTAAAAACAGCTTTTAGAAATTAACTGGACAGGACTGACTAATCTTCTCGATATCCCTGGATTAAAGTAAGTGTGATGCCATGTCCTGTGGTTAGCTTGTTGATGGTGTAATGTGCATTCTCAGTGTCGTGAAAACAACGCAGGGCCATTCAGGCCTGTCTCTTCCAGGCAGACTCCGTGCCTTCTTGGCAGTCTCTCAGCTGACACTCAAGTGAACAGACTGCAGCTGTCTGTCCTCACAACCGCGCCTGAGACCGCTGGACGCAAATGTGCTAACGCACAGTGGTTTTAGGACTTCAGACTGAGTCACTCACCCTGCATTTGACATTTTGTTCATTATGAAGCAGCTTTTCAGTTCTGGTATGTTAGAATAGTAGCAGCTTTTTAATATCCTACAAATTAATTTTTAAATTTAGTTTTTATTATTTTCCCAGAAAAAAATACAGAAAACTTAAAAAGCAAAAGCGTTTCAAAACTAGCCCTTTCTGGGTTCTCTTCAAACTGTAGCCACTCCTCCTCGGAGGATAGATGTCAGTACTGTGGCACTGGGAGCCGTGGGAGAGGTGAGAAGCTGGGGTCCCGCATCAGCACTGGATCCCCCTCTCATCAGCCTGTGGCGACCCAGGGGCTAAAGCCTGAGGTTTTCTGCGGTGGGACAGTGGGCCTACGACACCATTTAAGGCACGACCCCGCTGTGGGAGAAGGGAAGTCCTTTTGTGTCACGGTCCATCTGTCCTACGTGATAGAAGGTGACTGAAGGTAGCAAACCTGTTGGTCACTACCAGGCTGGAAGCTCTGAGACTGCAGCCTCGCAATCTGCTTTGGCTGGTTTTACTATTGAATTTCAAGGTTAAAATGCATTACTTATTGGTTAAAGTTGCATATGTTTCTAGTGGGTATTTTGCTAATCTGTAAAATTTTTTTTGCCTAAATTAGCTTCGAAATTAAAGTTTGGAAGCCTTGGTGTTGGTCCATTTTTTTTCTATTCCTGTGTATTTGCTCATGCCCCTGAGGTGGCCCTTAGCACTTCATTTTGTCTCATTCTCAGGGGAAAAGTAGGACTTGAATATACTGAGGCACAGCGCTAATAATACAGGTCTCTTTTAGGTCCTGTGATTTAGTGGGTATAGAAAAATACTGTTCTTTCAAAGTTCTTTGGAAAGAAATGACAACTTAAAAGACGTGTCACAGTGTTCACTAAGATTCTTGGTTGCAAGCAACAAACCCAGCTCAAATGGTTTTCAGTAGGAAGTAAATAAATGAGCGGTGAAATACTGTTTCTTAAAGACAGTGGGTTTGTTTATCCTACACGTGGGCACTGAGCACCAGCTGTGAGCCTGCCCTTACCTCATTGCTGTGGGGGCCGTGCGGCCTCGCCCAGAACAGCCACACACCCTGCGGAGAGCAGCCTGGGGTGTATGGGTGCCTTCAGGCCCAGCCAGGTCTCTCTGTCCAGCTCTGGACTTGGCTTCTGTCTGTGTGACCTTGTTTTCCGGGAGCTCTTGCTGTGAATGAGCAGCTTCTAGCCTCTGTTCTGCAAGGTTAGCAACCTCAGTCATAAAGGAAGATTTTCCCACTACGAGTTCCAGCAAAAGTTCCAGGGTTGCCTCCGTTTGTCCACACATCCATGAACAAATTCCTGTGGTTCTGATTGTCCGGCTGGGGTCTTCTGCCCACCCCTGGAGGATGCGAGATTAATGGCAATGTGTCTTTTACTATAATCTTTTTTTTTTTAATTTAAACATTCACCATATTTTTTTATCACGCCTTGTAGTATGTATGCTTTTAGCGTGTTCACATGTACCTTACTTAATTCTCACATTTACCCCAAAAACATGTTAAAAGTGCATTTGTTTCTTCAGCCTCCACAATTTTATCCACATCCATAAGTTCTCTGTGCAGTGGTACATAGTACTGCAAAGTTTTTACAGTATTTAGTACCCACGTACGGTGGGAAGTGAGAAGAAACTATAAATCTTTTACTTCCTTGGGAGCCGTGCATATATAATGTGAGATAAATTTAACATAATGAACATGGAATGAGTAAATGGATGTTATGGTATTTTCTGAAATGTTATGGAGGTTTGAAATATTTTATGTTAAAAATAGAAATGTAATGAAATGTGCAGAGGGTGCCAAAAAAATGTATACACATTTTAAGAAAGGAAAACTATTAAAATTGCAAAACTCAATATATACCGATAACAAAAGATGAATACAAGTCACATTTGACTTCCGCAATTACAAGAGGTGCTCACAGGTTCCCATCAGTGTCCAGACACTTGTGATTACGGCGAACTACTGCTCGGGCAACGCTGACCAAAGTCTATGTGTGCACATTGTTTTGGTACCCCCGGTATATTAGCAATTCAACATAAAATCAGTGAGAAAGTGTGTAGCCATGTATGAAGTGATCTTTAGGGTGGAATGTAGCCAGAATAGGACCTTCAGTTCTCAGAAAAAACCTGACATAGCAGCCACCATAGCAGGATCACAGCGAAAGGGGCAAATGGCTGGTTTTAGGTTTGTGTTGTGGGGTCAACGACTCAGTCCTGTAAGTGGGTCATCATATCATGTCTGTGGTGCGATAACTAGCGCTCAACGTGTCTGATAACCGTGTTCTTCTTACCTCCCACCTAACAGCGGCTTATCAGATACTATCATTTTGGATATAATTTCAAACCACCTGGTGCTTCCCAATCGAGTCACTGTTCCTCTGGTCAGCGAAGTCCAAATAGCCCAGCTGCGGTTCCCGATACCAAAGGTAAGCACGGCCCAACCTCTGTTAACGCTTAAAAATAGCCATGGAGGCACGGTCCCCATCCCTGGGTGTTGTCACTTTCTGTGACTTCCCGTCTTCTCCTGGCAGCAACCCTGCCACATGGATCTTGGTGCATAGGTAGTCTGTCCGCCACACTCCCTAGGAGGGTGGCTAGTGTACGTCCAGACCTCAGCCGGGAACCTCACATCATAGAGCCGCGTGACAGCCTAGTTACCCATCTCAGAAAGCCCACACTATTTGTGCTCATGAATCGTAACAGCTTCGTCTAAGCGATGGGAACACAGGTTTTCTGTCAGACTGACAGTTTAATGAATTATGTGGTAGGATATAAAAAGATATAGCTTCCTGTGCTGATTGGGTCAAGAATATTACCCAGTAATTATTATTATTATTATTTTTAATTGGGGAATTGGGGGAGGGGAACAGCGCTGGGGAATCGGGGAAGGGGAACAGACAAATTGCTGTCCTTTTGTTCTTCAGTCTAGTTGTGGAGGACGTCGCTTCACTGGCCCATGTTGGTATTGTGATCATTGCGCTCTTCCTCGGTGAGGGAGATCAGTCGCCAGCCTCTGGACAGCCGCTTACGGTGGCTCTTGGCAGCTCTCACCGGCTGCTGGCTGCTTATGCTGGCTGCTGGCTACACACGGTAGCTTATGGCAGCCCACTGCAGCCTACGCCGTCACTGGCGACTCCTGGCAACCCAGCTCCAGGTCGAGCTGCTGTTCACCATTTTTGCTGTAGAGGGCAGTGTCACTGGCCCTCATGTGGGATCTGAACTGGGGCCCTGCTGCTCAGAGCTGGCATCCCAAGCCAGCTCTTTTTTTTTTTTTTCCAAAGATTTTTATTGGGGAATTGGGGGATGGGAACAGCGCTGGGAATTGGCGGAAGGGGAACAGACAAGTTGCTGTCCTTTTGTTCTTCAGTCTAGTTGTAGAGGACGTTGCTTCACTGGTCCAAGTTGGCACCATCATTGCGCTCTTCCCAGGCGAGGCAGATCAGTCGCTGGCTTCTGGACGGCTGCTCACTGCGGCTGCTGGCCGCTCACGCTGGCTGCTGGCTACACACGGTAGCCCATGGCAACCCACTGCCACAGGGGCTGCAGCCTACGCTGTCGCCTGCAGCCCAGCTCCAGGTTGAGCTGTTGTTCAGAATCTTAGCTGTGGAGGGCAGTGTCACTAGCCCTCATATGTGGGATCCAAACCGGGGCTCTCTGGCGTCCCAAGCCAGCTCTTAACCAACACGCCACTCAGCCTGCTCTCAAGCCAGCTCTTAACCAACGCGCCACTTGGCTGGCCCTACCCAGTAATTTTTTAAAAAGGGTTTATGGGGGAGAATGCTATCCTACGAAAAGGTAACCTCACTGCCTTTGTTTGCCTTGAAAGAAATATGAATGAATATTTTTTATTTTATCAATTAAACATTTTAGGAAAAGGTAGAACTATGTTGAGAGTAGTCTATGAGTAGTATGAATTTCAAAGTTTCCGTTTCCTATCTGTAAAATAGGATTAATGACAGTATTTCATAGGGTTGTTCTAGAAATGGAATGATGAATACATACCAAGGTCTGATACATCCTATAATGTTAGTGTCACAGTAGAACTCAAACAGGGTTGTTCTGTGGCCCACGAGACCTGTGTAATCTGTCCTTCTGCTCCCTGCGTGAGCCTGGCTCCTCGGGCCCCTGGAGCAGCGTTGCTCTGGGCCCTGCATCCTGCGCCCTGTGCTGGGGAACGTCGCGCGTCGGCGGCCCACACCTCCTGCCTCCTGTCTCAGCTCCCGCCGCCCTGCGCTGCGTTGGCTCCCCCTGGCCCTGCTCCCTATGTTCCACACACTCACCTTGCTGCTTTGCTGCACAAGGAGAGGGTCTCTGTTCTATTGCCGCGTTCTGAGGACGGGTGGCACGCAGCCAGCGGTCCTCGTCGAGGGGAGCTGGTGGGCCATTGGCGCGTTTGTTCCTCTGCTTTCCAGGGTGTCCTGCGGATACACTTCATTGAAGCTCAGGATCTTCAGGGCAAGGACACTTATCTGAAGGGGATTTTCAAGGGAAAGTCAGACCCCTATGGAGTTATTCGAGTTGGCAACCAGATCTTCCAAAGCAAGGTCATCAAAGAGAACCTTAGTCCAAAGTGGAACGAGGTATACGAGGTAAGCGTGTCGTCTGCCACCGGTTTTGTCCCCAACTCACACACGAATGTGCTTAATCAAGGTGGCAGTTTCTATTCTCTTCGCTTTAACTTCCCATCTTTAAAAAGCATTGCACCTTCTGTCCCTCCCTCACAACATTCTTATAAGGCCAGCACATAACATTTTAAACCTTAATTACATAAAGCTATCACAATAATAATTGGCAAAATAATTTTCCTAATGTGAAAAATGCTTTATGTTCCAACACATATGCGTGTGCAAAATGAGGTGATGTTCTGTTTTGTGAATTTTCATTTGGTACCCCCGGACACCTGTCCATGTCAATAAACCCACGTGGACCCCGTGTATGATAGCCGCTCACGTAGTCGCTCTGCCATTGCTTCACCCTAAGAGGCCTTGGCTGTTTGGCTCAGCTTTGTAGCTGCTGCTGTGCAAGTATCAGGTGGATGGATTTTTCTTCACTGGCCACCTGTTTCCCAGATAAAGCTCCTCAAGGTGGGATTGCTGCACAGAAGTTCCATGTATTTGAAATCTCCAATACACTTTTGCAAAGCTGTTCTCCTGCACCAGCACAGTTCACGCTCCACCAGCGTCTCCTCCTCCCAGTCCTGTCTGTCGCCAGAGCCCCCAGTCTCCGAGCAGTGCTGTGGTGGTTGGTTAGCCAAGGACCCTCTGAGCAGGGCCTGTACAGGCACCAGGCTGTGCTACTGTCCTGTTGGGCGCCCTTGAGAATGACCCACTGGAAACACACACAGACTGTTGCTATGTGAGCACGTGATTCCGAATGAGGAGTGTGTGTGGTTTAACAGTGAGACAGTGTGAGTGCTTTACGAGGACTTAACCGCTGGAGAAAAATTCACAGATCCATGGAGATACTTGCTATAATCATCATGCTCAGTAGGTGACCATGTTAACAAAAACGTGACATAATCGCCAGACATTCATGTTTCAGGCCTTAGTCTACGAGCACCCTGGACAGGAACTAGAGATCGAGCTCTTTGATGAAGACCCGGACAAGGATGACTTTCTGGGCAGGTAAGACTGCGAGCACGGCGCAGGGCCACTCTTTCCTTTTCATAATCTCTTAAAGCTGTAACTTCAGAAACACACTTGGGCACATGGTATAAGATTATTTAAATGGCTCTTGGGCATTTGTTTCACCTTAGGCTTCCTAAAACATGTTTTATTCCTAATAAGTTGCACATTTAAGTAAGAGAGAGAAAGCGTCTAGATCTGTGTCCATCATAGCAGTCACTCGCCACATGTAGCTATTTAGATTAAGTTGATTAACATTAAACAAAATGTCAAGATCACTCCTGGGTCATGCTGTCTCCGTTTTCAGGGCTCAGGAGCACGTGTGGCCCCGGCCTCCACACCATGCGGGCAGCTTCGCGCTCAACAGCAAAAGGGCTGCAAACTTTTTCAATTTGTTGGGGTTTTGGAGGCGGGTGGTAATTTACATTGTGCCTTCACACTGAAAAAGTAAATACTTGTTTGTTTACTTCAATTGAACAATCAGTACTATTAGAAAAAAAGGAGCTTTAAAAAAAACCCAAAAAACACTTTAACCTAATCTTTGTATTTAACTGAATTTCCTTTGGCAAAAAAGACACAGGAATAGATGGCATTGGCCAGGCTTGGCCTCATCAGGAGCAGCCTGTGTGTTTCGCTGTGACTTCAGAATTCATTCATGAGACAGTTTAAAAAGGAGCAACTGAAAGATTTAAAGCAGGGCAGTGAACAGATCGAATCCGCATTTCAGCGAACCCAGTCTGTAGGTTGGGTTGTCGGGTGGAGATTGGAGCCTGGCAGATCACCAGGGACTGGAACAGGCCGGGAAGGGGGCGCGAGGGCCCGACCTGAGACAGAGCGGGGGATGCCTGGCTGCCAGGGAAACAGCCGGCCGTCCTGTCTTAGTCGCCTCTGGCTCCTGGGGGTGGTTTCAGCCTTTGTAGTGGAGCAGGCTTGTCCAGCGGACATGGAGCGGGCTGTCTGGACATGCTAAGAGAGAGGCCTCTGGGGCTGCAGACACACGAGGTGCAGAGAGAGGTGCCAGGTGGGGAAGGCGGTAAAGGCCTCACTCGGGTTTGAGTGCCTTAGCTGCAGGGAGCGTGTCAGCCAGATGAGTGAGGGCTGATAGTCTTAAACATTTTGGCACATTGCAAATACGCATTGTGGGGGAGACCAGCCTTTTTACAGCCCTAACCTCAGCTTTGCCAAACTGACTGCTCTGTCTTCCCACAAATTCAACCTTTCTCTTTTCTTTACCTTTCTTCACTCTTGGCTGTAAGCTGGGGAAAAGCTTTTGGAAGAAGTCTGTTTCCTGATATACTGGGTAGCATTTTGTACTTTTTCATAGAAAAATACCCGGGGTTATTTCAGTTGTGAGAAGTGTGTTCTAAAGGTGTTACGTTGTTCTTTCTGCAGTCTTATGATTGATCTGACCGAAGTTGAGAAGGAACGCCTGTTAGATGAAGTAAGTTTTCTCTGAGAATTATCTGTTTGGTGCCGCCTGCGGGCAAGGACTGTCTCCCCCCACTCCCTCCCTCGCTGGGTGTTCGAAAGCATTTCCTTCCGGGCCGAGAGCTCCCGCTTTTTAGTAACAGCAGCACAGGGAAGAGATAGAGGTTGAAGAGCCCAATCATGCAGCCTGTGCTGAGGACCTCCGACGGTGAAGGTGCCGGCACAAGCTGGCTTTGTTCAGGCAAGCACGTGCTGTCCATTGGGAGTCAGGGCAGAGGCCTGTGAGACGCACCCCAAAAGTGGGCATTCTGAGGCTGGCGTTAGTGGCAGAGCTGGCCAGCGCAGTCGGTGGGAAATTGTCACGTGAAAGACATCCGTGAGTGCCGTGGGAACTGACAGCAAGCAGCCTACTTACTTCCAGTAGGATATTGCTATCAGAATAAGAAGTATAAAAAAGGAGAAGGTGGCTATGACTTCTAAAAGGTGGGGAATATTTGGTAGGTAAAGCACAGCTGACCAGAACGCTGCAATCCTGCTTGCAGAGCAGCACGCACGGTGGCGTCCGGCAGGGAGATAGCTGCATGCCTGCTGCAGGTTCTTGGGTGGGGCCCACAGGCCTTGCACGCAGATGGGCTGTATGGGGACTGTCTTTGATGAACCGCTCTGTGGCTTGAAAGCTCAAACAGCCGCATATTATTTTGTTAATTAGTATACAGTGAGGAATAAAACCAAATATGCTAACTTGTTTGATATTGAAATCAGTATTTGGGCTCGATGTCTTACTATGAATGACATCACAAATTCTGTTAACGTCTGTACACAGAAGCCGGACGGTTCTGGGAGGCACTGAAGCCTTGTGTGTAAATTAGGGATGAAATAGCACCCACCTCACGGGGCTTTGTTTGGACTCAGTGAGTTAATACTGGAGAGCGTTGAGAATGGTCTTGGGTGGCAGGCGGTGCTGTGCCTGGTCCAGCGTCGTGGGCCACAGGGCTGGCTGTGGTGGGCTTCAGCCCGTCAGCGTCCTGAGAGCCGAGGCTGCACAGGGAGCCGCCTGCGACACTGGTGGGGACTGTGTAATTCGAGTGTGGATTCAGGCCTTGTGCTGAACTTGCCCTTTTCCCTTCAGTGGTTCGCCCTGGACGAGGTTTGCAAAGGGAAGCTGCACTTGAAGCTGGAGTGGCTCACGCTCATGCCAGACGCCTCCGCCCTGGACAAGGTGCGTGGCCCGGTGGCCGGCCGCTCCTGCCCTGCCAGGGTCAGGGTGCATGTGGCATCGTTGTTGCCACCAGTCATTACGTGGCAGCATCCAGATACGTTCAAGACGGGACCCTTTAAAAGATTCGTGCATCATTTACCTGCTTCGCGGGCTTTGGAGAGCCGCGTCGCCAGAGTGCTTCATTCAGCGATTTGTAGTCTTGGCGTTTAAAAGATTTTGGTTCTCATTCCCTCTGCTTGCAGATAGTAGACGGTTCGTTTTCCCACTTTTCCCATTTCCTTGAGCGTTAGAGGCACGGTCAGGTCGCAGGAGCCTAAAACGTGTGGAAACACGCCTGCTCAGGCTTTTCTCCCTTTCCTTGTAGGTGCTGACAGACATCAGAGCCGACAAAGGCCCAGCCAACGACGGTCTTTCCTCTTCCTTGCTGATCTTGTATTTGGATTCAGCGAGGAACCTTCCAGTAAGTAGCACTGTGGGAGTTCACTGGGGCGCTCATTTCTGCTGGGCGTCACCCATTCCTGTGGCTGGTTTCTCTTCACTGCAGCCCAAGAGCAGCAGTGGGGTGGGATAAGTGTGACTTTCTGCCCATACGTCTTACCACTCAGGATGCTCAGTGTTACCTTTCTCTGACATGTTCTGTGAAGGGATCTCCGGCCCAGAGGAGATGCCCACAATCCCCTAGGAGCTGAGGAAGAAGATGTCTGGTAGAAAGTCACTAATTTAAAATTCCGTTGCCTAAAGTATTTATTCTCCATCTGGCATGGGAATAAAATGAAGCAGCTCTGATGATGGAGCCACACACATGGCTGGCTTCTGTGGCTGGCATCCGAATGGTTTGCCCTTAGAAATACCTGTAAAGAACGGTTTTTATAGGTAAGGACTATGACTTGAAGGAGAAAATCACACGCCTTCAGCCACGTGAGGCCTGCTGCGACCCCCCGCCCCACACTTTACCGCCACTGCTTAGGGCAAATGTCCAGGGTTTTCTGATTTTCTGAGTACCTAGTCACTCGTTCAGCAATAGATGGTCATTCTTGCTTTATTTTGTTGTGTCGAAGGCCAGTTTTGTTGAAGGACAGGTGACTGCCCCAGATACAGGGTGCTCTCCGCCCCAGGAGTATAGCAAATGCTCAGTCATCAGGTGCGTTTGTGCATGTGTCCCTGTGTCCTCAGTCCCTTGTGGAGACAGCACCGTGGGTCACTCGGGCCTTGGCACTGCACCTCAGGACTTCATCCGGGCCTCCAGTCCTGGCTCACCGGCGGCACCATTTATCTCAGAAATGCACACCCTCACTTCCTTTAGCGCCTTCCACGGCTTTAAAATTATGCGTGACGTGGGCTTTGCTCAAAAGCCAAGTAGATGTACTGTGTGTGTTGGTGCGCTTTATTTAAACTTTATTAAAATCTGATTGGTCATCTATTGTTTTCATCCTGGGAACATGTAGTTGAACTCTTTGTATGTAATTGCATATACACTTGACCCTTGAACAATTTGGGGGCCAGGGGTGCCGACATGAGGTAAAAAAGCCACGTGTAACTGATGTCGCCCTCCGCACACAAGGATTCCCAACCCAGGATCGAAAACACAGCTGACCCCTGGGTGACACAGGGCTGAGCCGCGCTGGCCTCTTCTGCACCTGTGGTCCAGGGGTCAGCTGTAGCGGGCCTCTTATAGCGAAGGTTCCTTGACCGATTTGGACTCCCCATTCTGACCTCCTATGCACTGCCAGAACTTTTCGGCCACTCTCCCATCTCAAGTCAGTGCTTCATCTGTCATAAAGTCAGTCTGAGGAGAGCTCTTTCCTGGTGAGTTAACCTTTCCACAGCAGTTCTTGTATGTAGAACTTTTTGTTTTTAACCACAAGTATGTTTTTTATCTTGTCTTTTTTAATGTCCGACTGAAATGAATTTGTTGAATATTTTACAAAATAAGAATAGTCTTGGCGAATTGGCAAGAAGGGCCTAGGCTTCTCTTCAGAACTGTTTTATCAGATTAAATTGAAATTTGAGTAACATCACATAAGAAAAAAAAAAGGTGACTTCGTTAACCTCCTGTGACGGGCACTTTGGGGCACTTTGTGCATGGGGGTGCTCTGGGTGCCAGAGGCGCAGAGTCTGCAAAACGGCTGCTCGCGGGGCACTTGGCATAAACAGGCACGGCTGCCAAGCGGCCGTGTGCGTTTCTGGGGTTCTCTGACCGCCCTTGGCGCTCCTGTCGCTCTGTGCTTCTCGTGTGCTCATTGACCACAACGCACCGTTCTGTGCTTTCTCCTCCCATTTCCACTTTCCTAAGAGTATCTACGAGGGAAACTTTGGGTGTGGCTACTTAAAAGAGAGGCGAGCGTCCGGACTAGTGTTTTGTGAAAATACTGCCTCAGTCTATAGAGCACTATTTGTGAGTTCTCCTGTGTTTTCTTCCTTTTGTTTTAATGGAGACTGCAAGAATGTGGACTGAAACTTCTAACCATCTATCAGTGATGGAGTGACGTGGCATGCTTTTCAATTTTTCTGCATGATTTCAGTTACTGTGTGTGTGTGTGTGTGTGTGTGTGTGTTTCTTTTGTGCTTGTTTTGTAAAACGTGACACTGCTGTTACTAACACTGAAGATGACATCTGATGATGAGATGAACAAACCTGGTGAGTCACAAAGAAGCCCTAGATTCTTAAACTGCTATTGGCCCACTAAAAAGTAGAAATAAAAATTCTTCTGAGGAAAAATGAAGCCATAATGATTCAATTGATTTTCTTGTGGTTCATCTCAATGTGAGATGTAAATATTTCTTTGCAAGCTTTCAAAAGACTTCGTTAAACTTACTTCCTCCTCCTGACCAAACACAGAAGCACCTGGACTTGGCTTTCCTTAAAGTCCTGGCTGTGCCCGTGGGGACAGACCTTCCCCTGTTGCCCTGAACACTTGCCTTTGACCTCACTGTTTAGCCAGAGTCCCGAAGGGAGAAAAAGATGGTGGAGTTTGTGAGTCAGCTTCTCTGAAGGAGCTTAGAGAATTTCCTGGAGTGGAATTGGGCACTTTTGCCTGTTTGGGAAGCTGGTTTGGATCTCGTTGTGTCTGTCTCCCTGGGGTCTTGCCCTGTCACCTTGGCTCCTGGCACTGTTCTTGGTGCTTTTAGCAGAGAGTTATTTTTACTGGCTTTGGTGTAAGAGGAAGCCACCGATGGCTTGGTCATTAGTCAAAGAGTCACCCTTTCGAGACTAATTACTGATTAAATTCAGTCACTGGTGAGGTTCTAAAAGTTCCTTTGGCCCTCGAACCTGATAGTGAGCTATGCATTTTCGAGGCATTCTCGCTTCTGTTTCCACATGCATTCTCAGTTTATCCTTACTTTGCGGGGAGGGGGCAAAACTTGAAGAATAGTTATTTTGTCCCAGTTTACAGATGAGGAAAATCAAAGCCAGAAGGGTTGGATGAGCTATTCAGTCATATCACACGACTGTGCAAAAGGGCCATGAGCATATCGGCATCTGTTTTCTATCACTTTGCACTGAAATGATTTTCTATTTCAGTGTTTCTTAGAGGAAAGCTGCACTGTAAGCTGCTGTAAACAAGTGTGTACGCAGCATAAAGGGTCTGCCTGTTGCCAGTGGCCTTCCTATGTCATTCTCTCATTCTGTAACTACTGCTCTGAAAGGAAATACTTCTGACCTTGTGTCTCTTGTAGTGGCTTTGTAATACTTTGCTACAACATAGCTTAGTTTTGAAAACTACCTCCCTTCCTAGTTACCAAAATGACACACGCTGCCCCATGATGCAAAAACTGGCATCAACTAAGTGTCTATGAAGTGCATTTGAACAGCCTGGTTTTTCAACCCATGGCTTTTCAGTATGAAGTCAGATCAGTGCTTTTTCAAGGCCTGAGCCCTTCACTATTTCTGGTCAAGGTTTGGAAGGCTGCCAGCCCGTTGCTGTCTAACCTTCTACCTGCTCAAAACACTCTTAATTTTCAAGCCCATAAGTGCATTACCACCGGTAATGCCCGTCTGAAACTCTTAGCACAGCAGGACTTTCCTGCAAACCGGAAATGTCCTCTTGACAACGTGGACTCACCACTTCGCTGCCCTCCTTTGGACCCAGTCCTGGGCGTGAATTTCAGAGATGCTGAGGGCGCTGTCGGACTCCTGGCGGCTGGCTGTAGACGTCTGGCTTACGGGATGACTTAGGAGCTGAGCCCTTCCCACGCGTTCTGCGCTACATCTCATTTAGTCTCAGGCCATTGTGACCACGTCTCAGAGAAGGGAAGGAGACCGGGAGCATGAGAGACCAAGGTCGCAGCTAGTAAGTGGCAGAGCTGGGATTTGAGCTCAGCATGTGACCCAGAGTCCACCTTCTTGACCCCTCCTGTGTGCTCCATCCTAGTACAGAGTGAATTGATCACCTTATTACGTTTCTAATGCTGTAGGTGGAATTGATCTGAGCTGGGTGGTGGTTACGCCAACGTCTAAACACGAAGGCGCTGGCTGTGTAACATGGAGGCCCTTGGCAGCGATCAAGCTAGCGCTTTCTCATTCAGAGGTACAGGTGGCTGTTGCTGCCTCCGTTTGTGGTGTGTGGCCTGGGGGAAAAGGTGCAGTAACGTCCAGAGGCCTCACGCAGTCCCCTGCGTAGTACACCTGGATGGTTCTGTGCAGCTTCCACGACCTCACGCGGCTGCCCTGCACCCCCACCCCACCCACGGCCTTGCTCCTGGCTTTGCTTTCACTGACGCATGTCAGGGTAACACATGCATTTAGTATAGGTCCCGTTTATCCAGAGAGCTTCAGAAGGGCTCTTCCATGCTCACTCCTCAGGGCAGTGGTCCCCCGCCTCACCTGTCCAGACTCCCTGCCGGACCTTGTGGGCCCTGTGTTCAAGAGCGTTGCAAGTCACTTCAGCGGCAGCCTGGGCTGAGGCTGGCTTTAGGAAAGCCTTCGGCCTCACGCTTGGACTCCACGCCCGACCCCGCCTGCCAGGGTCGTGGAAGGTGGAAAGGCTAGTTGTCCGTCGGTCTTCATTATGAAACCTGCTGTTCATAGAAAACGAATAGTAAAATTCAATCTTGTCATTTGAGGTTAATTACAACTAAAATGATAAAATCTTTAATCTTACCTATTAGTCTTTGAAGGAACTTGCAGAACAACTCAGTCTTGCTCTTTTGAGGTCAAGACAGTAATGACTTCAAATTTAATAAAAGTAGGACATAAAACCCATAATAATAGAACTTTAAAGCCAGGAGAAACTCTTGGCATGATGTAATCAGCCTCTACAGTTTACACTTGGGAGAGAATCAGGGCAGAAGCAGAGAAGGCCCATCCCTGCTCTGGTTTTGCACGAAGGAAGTAAATTCAGAAGGAAGAAGAGCAGCACCTGCTGTTGTAAGATACAGTTTGGCTTGAGAGCAGTTGGGGCACCTATGGCCCATTCCGTGGTACTTTAGATAAAACCTTTAGTTTAATTATAGGTGATATTTTAGGGGTTCATTCTAGCAAAGGATAGTAAATAGAATCCTTTCTTAAAGTGTCAGTATTGGATTTTTGGGTCCCAAAGGTAAGAGGGGTTGGGGGGAATAGAGGAATAGTAGCCCCAGAAGGAAAGGAAATGGGCTTTGATATTTATAGATTAAAAGATCATTCTAAGATAGAATCTAGAGCATAAAGAAGAATTTTACAAATGATTTTGACTGTTTATTCTGTGTGTGTAATTCTTAGTGCTTTTCGTTTAAAGGTTTTTGTTCGTTCACATAAATTTTCATGTCATTAACCTTACATAAACTCCTCATTGCATGTTTTATTAACCCCTGGTATATTCATTTTCTTCTGACTTGAAAGAGTAATCCATTAGAGTTTAACCCTGACGTCTTGAAGAAGTCTGCAGTTCAGAAAGCTTTAAAGGTAAACTAATACTTTTCCCTTGAAAAATTAAGTCATATTGAAAGAGATGATGCCTCAGCCCTCATGGGTTTATTGATAAATTCGCTCCCATGCTAATTAGTAATCAGTTGTCTAGGTGGAGAGAGCCTACCTTTGTTACCCACGACTTAGCAGTTAGAAGAATTTTAGTCAACTTCGAAGATAAATTTTATAAAGTTGCAACGTGATGCATTAGGCATCTGTCCTGTTGGCTTTAGGCAGCAATATCTAAAATGGTTTTAAATCATCTATATTTTAATTGGATTCAAATTTGTGAAAATGGTGAACTATTTAAAATCTTAACCACTTTTTAGATTAGGGTTGGCAGGTACACCCTCGACACTGTGGCTGCTGTTTAAACATCACCTCTTCCAATATGCTGAGTGAGGCCGTCTCTGATTTGGTGACTTCAGAGCTGTTGGCGCTGCTGGGTTTGGTTGTGAGATCTTTCAAGAAGCTTTAAATTTCATTAAATGAGGTATATTGAAAACTAAGCTCCACTCCCTAAAACACCATGAACTTGTATTTTCTGGCTCAATTGTTAAAAGATTTCTGTGACTTAGTATATTTTATTATTTTTTATTTGATTTCTTTGAACATTTTAGACTTAAATATTGGAGGGGAGGGTTTAAATATAATTATTTTAAGAAAATTCCACTGAAAGGAATCAGGAATGGTTTTTAATCAGCTTCATCTAGAAGGATAAGTTCAGTTTCAAAAGTGAGGAAGACTAGCGAAGGCTGCTTTGGCGTCATATTCCCTAAGCCCTCTGGCCCCCTGCACCGAGGACATGAGGCATGGCCTTGCAGGGAACTGCCCCCTGGGGGTACGGTAGCACACTGGTTAAGTGACGGTTCCCATAAGACACTGGAAGGAATTACACTGACAGTCCTTCCTCCCTGTTTCTGTGGAATCTGAACAAAGGCTGCGAAAGCAGACTGTCTGGGTTTGAGTCTCAGCACGGCCACTCGTCCGTGTGACCTGCAGCAAGATACTTAATCCTCTCTGCTATTCTAGAACGGAAGTGAGGGTATCTTCTTTCCTGGAGTATTGAGTAAATCAAATGAGATCATACATGGAAAGTGCTCAGCACAGCCACAACAATGTTGATTTTAGTTGTTGTTATGTTATCTCGTTTAACCTCACAACTAGCTTCTGGAGGTGGTGTCATGCCCATTTTATAGACATGAAAAGTGAGGTTCAACTAGATGAAATATGTCAGTCTCGATAATTCAGTGGTAAGGAGCTGAGATGTAAATTCCGGACAGTTGGAGTGAAGAGCTCCTATTTCTCTTATACCTGGGTCTCTGACCTGTGCTGATTGATGCATTTAAAACATGGCATTGTGGTTAAAAACAAACAAACAAAAAAGTTCTTTAACCATATTTCATAGAATCTAAAACATCACCTGTTTTAAGAGATACCATTATTTTATGTACCACAAAGAAAGAAAACATTAAGGTTTGATAGTGTTTATTTTATACTTACTGAAAATATTTTTAGACTTAAGATAAACACAGATTTTTTTCAGGTCACTCACATGCATACACAAAAGGAAAATATAAGCAAAATAAGTGGGTTAAGGAAGTGGCAATGATCTCACTACTGCGATCTCCCCAAAGCAGATACATACATCAAGTCAGGAATTGTGAGTTTCCTTGTTTTCAGAGACGTTAGAAAAGGAAAGTGTGTGTTAAATTGACGAACTCAGTAATTCTCCAGGAATAAATGGCTACTTTTTGGAGATGAAATAAGTATATTAGTTAAGAAATAAACTCAGCTTCTGAATTAGAGATTCAAAAGTAACTGTGGCTTCAGCCAGAGAGGAGTTGACTCCCTCCATCATCAGCGTTTGGTGTGGGGCTGGCTGTGCTCAGCACCTCCAGCCACAAGGGGGTCACCGCAAGGGGGGCACACCCCTCCTTTTAAGGCAGACCTAACTGCAAGGGAGGGAGGTCCCGAAATAGAGTCTTGATTTACAGAGGACTTGCGCTCGCAGAAGCCCCAGGGGTCTAACGTGCAAGGAAGGGGGAGAAAAGGGCCGTAGAGGGGATTGGTTTTCTCTGCCACACGAGTCTGTAGCCTTGGGTATTTTTTTTAACAGTATTTATTTCATTTTGCAGAATTCATTCCCATCAAAAAGATGAACCAGAAAATAGATTATCGCAGTAGGTTTGGGCTAGCAATATTTTATTCCAATAAGCATATGAATTTGATGTTTATTTCTGTCATTGCTGCAGTGTTGAGAATTGACTCTCAAATTCTTTAACTAAAAAAAATTTTTGTCACCTTCTAATTAATTTCCACTAACGCAAAAATTTAACTGCATCTTCTGTGGGGCTAAGTTATAAATAAACCTCATATCCCATGTAGGATTATGTCGTGTTTTACTGTGTTTTCTGCTATCAGCTGTCTGTGCTAAAGTGTGCTTCTTAAGAACCATTTTTTCTTGTTACATTTATATCTGCTCAATTTAATGTGATTCTAGATCGACATTTATTCTTCTAGTCAAAATTACTTAGCAGCTGATCAGCAAGATATCTGATAGCTACATGCTTGAACAGAAGGTGCTAAGTTAAAAATGTAAAAACATGTTTCTGACACTTTTTTTACTATTCCAACCAGAGGAGTGTTCTGAATTCCATACTCTCTTACTTTTGTCTTTGCTCAGGTTTTTCTGTTTCCATTTGTTGCACTTTATCTGTTTTGTTATCCTAGTAAAATAAATTTTGAGAGCTGGAATTAACATTAAAGATATTCAGAGGATTTCATTTTTCTAAACTAGCTTGCTCTAAAAATAAAAGACATTAACATTTAAAAATTGTGTGCACATAGAAGTTTTCCTAATTTCATGATAGATGCAATTACGGGTTTGGGGTGTGCTTAGCAGTTGGTTCACTGAAGAATCAGAAGTAAATAGAAATGACTGTTAATATAAGCCAATAATTTCATTTGTAGCAAGCCCATTTCAGGATGTGTGTGTTTATTTTGTCTGTTTTTTTGTTTGTTTTTGTTTTTGGATAGTCGGGGAAGAAACTAAACAGCAACCCAAACCCTCTTGTGCAGATGTCGGTTGGTCACAAGGCCCAGGAGAGCAAGGTAAGGCGCTGCCAGGCCCACTGGTTTTCTGTGACGTCACTCGCACTTTCACCACCAGTCAGGCGGGGATGTCAGTGGGGTGTTGGTGCAGGTGTCAAGACCATTGATTTTCATATCTTTTGTTTTCTCAAATCAGACATTTCACAGATAACCAGCTACTTAGTTTGGTAACAAACATTGTTCATTTCTTTAAATAACATTAAAAATAATAGGAATATGCTTTTGCTTGATTTCATAGGTAGATGACATGGGACAAATTTCATTTAAAAGATAACTTAAAGTTGAACAAATACAATTTGCTTAAAATTGAACAAATACAATTTGGTTCAAGAACTGAGAGAGGGCATTACTGTTGCTGCAATGTGTCCTGATTTCCTCATGTGGGAGAAAACATTTCAGGAATTATTTACAGTTACAGGTCACTGTTCACTTTTTAACTGTGCACCGTCCATGGGAGAAGCCTCCCAAATGCAGCCCTGGGTAACCCTGGGGAGGTACAGAGGAGGGTCCGAGCAAGCAGAGGGACCTCCGTCACTGGGGGCCTCCGTCACTTGGGCCCCCGTCACTGGGGTGACACACACTGGGAGCCCCATAGCAGTCTTCCTGGCACACTCAAAGCTTTGGACTCTGTCTTTTGAACAGTTTCCACAATTAACACATAGTAGTACATGTGCAGTAAATGTATGTTTTGAAATTTAATTAAAGTCATCCTAAGCTTCCAAACACAGTAAATGGATAAATGTAGGAAATATCACAAAGCTGATATTGGGATGTTTCTTTCAGATTCGGTATAAAACCAATGAACCTGTGTGGGAGGAACACTTCACTTTCTTCATTCACAACCCCAAGCGCCAGGACCTTGAAGTCGAGGTATTTTATTTGCGTTGTTTAATAAATTTATTGAAATGGGATCAATGTACAATGATGGGCATGTATTTAGTGTACAATTTATGGGGCCATCACCACAATCAGAGCGTCTTCGTCAAACTTCGCCCTGTGTTTCATACCTCTTGACACTGTAAACGTTTTTGTTTTTTCTAATTTTAAACTTTGGATGGTTGTTACTAGTATTCGGAAACACACTTGATTTTTGTACATGAGCATCATATGGCACAACCCTGCTAAACTGGCTTATTAGTTTCAGTAGCTTTTTTGTGGATGCTTCAGTTCAGGATGGCCTCTGCACAGGCGGTGATCGCGTTCTCTGCTAATTCTGGCACCTGCCTCTGCGTCTCCGACCTGGATGCCCCTTCTTCCCTTGTCTTGCCGCGCCACCAGGCCCCACCCGGCCTCCACACCAGGCCGATCTTAAGGGAAAGCCGTAGTGCTTCGCCAGTAAGCCTGTGTTTGAGGACGTTTCCTTCTTCTCTGACTACTGGTTTGCTGAGAGTTTTGTCATCAGTGGATGTGGAATTTTATCAAAGGCTTTTCTGCAACTGTTGAGATGATGATCTGGTTTCCGTTCTAAGTTTGTAAATATGTTGAAATATGTTGTTGATTTCCAGTGTTAAACCTTGCAAATATTTATTTGGGTTTCAGTATTTAACGTTAAGAAAACTTTTATTTGGGGATAAGCTCCACTGGGTCACAATGCAGTATCCTTCTTATGTATCCTATTTAATTTGCTAAAATTTTGTGAAAAGTTTTTGCGTCTGGGTCTCGAAGGACACTGATCTAGAATTTTGTCTCTCTAGTTTTTGTGTCCAGGTGGTGCCAGCCTCACAGGATGAGCTGGGGGTGTTTTCTCCTCATTTTTCTGAGTCTGTGTAGAATTGTTATGCTTGCCCACCTGACGAGTGGGTCCCTTTATCACTGTAACGATCCCCATTCACAGTTACATTTAAGTGATACTCTTTGCCCTGAAATCGACTTTGATATTAAAGTAGCTACCCCATCTTTCTTTTTATTGGAGTTAGCATGGCTTATTTTTCCCATCCTTTTGTTTTTAACCTATTTGTGAATTTATACTTAAAGCTGACTTCTTATAGACCACACACAGTTTAATCTTGCTTTTTTATCCAATCTGACAATTTCTTTAAATTTTGGCAGGCCATTTGTAGTTCATGTCATTATTGATGTGGTTCGGTTTAAATCTGCCACCATGCTACTTGCCCCATTTGTTTTTTGTTCTCTGTTTTTCTAATCTGACTCCTTTTGGATGAATTAAGCATTTTGTTGTTGTTGTTGTTGTTGTTGTAGAGGGCAGTGTCACTGGCCCTCACATGTGGGATCCGAACCGGGGCCCTCTGGCATCCCAAGCCAGTTCTCAACCATCGCGCCACCTGGCCGGCCCGAATTAAGCGTTTTTTATGACTAATGTTATCTCCTTGCCTGTCCTGAGTTGTTGGTGGTGGCGCTGGGTCTGTGGTGCTGTCTGTACCTCCCACTGCTCTCCCTCGAAACCGTACGCCAGGTCGCAGGGGTACAGGAACCCCCGTGGCACGCTTCTGTTCCCTCTGCCCAGTATGTTTTGTTACTTTTGCTTTAAACACTCACGTTTTAAAGAGCTTTTGAACAAATGAGGAAGCAGTGTCTCCTGTCTAGCCCCGTGTCTCCCCTCCCACTGTCCATCGTGGCCTCGTGGGGTCTCCGTCGCATGGATGGAACCTGTCTTCGCCCAGAGGACCCCCCTCGACAGTTCCTGTGGGACTGAGCTGCGGGCGATGGACTCTTAGCTTCTGGGTGTCTCAGAAGTCTGCTTCACTTCCGTTTGTCTTGTGGAAGATGTTTTCACAAGATACAACATTTTTTGGATAACAGGTTTTTTCTTCCATCTTGCTTCATTTCTGATAAAGTCTGCTGCTCTTGAGTTTGGAAAATTTTCGACCATTAACCCCTCAAATCTTTCCCCACTTTGTGTCTAATCTACTGTCAGTCCTGTCCTGTGTATTTTCATCTCAGACGTTGTATTTTTCATCCTTTCAGCTGAGTTTGGATCTTTTTATCTTCCATGTCTTTCCTCTACCCTCTTGTGTGCTTGTAGTGTATGTGACATAGCTTCCAGTGCCTCGTCAATGATTCTGTCATCTGTGTAATCGCTGGATCTGCTTCTATGAGTGATTTTTACCCTCATTATGGGTCACGTATTCCTGCTGCTTTGGTTGCCTGATAATTTCCCATTGTGAATTTTACGTTATTAAGTGCTGGGTTTTTGTGCTGCTTTAATATTTTAGAGCTTTGCTCTCACTTAGGAGGTAAGTTACTTGGACATACTTGGAGCTTTTTGAGGCCTGGTTTAAACTTTGTTGGGCAACCTGGCAGCCTTGGGATCACACTGGGCCGTGGCAGCCTCATGTGATGCTCCGTGTGTTACAAGCTTTCTCCTCTCTGTCTGCAGCCATCTGTGCGCTGGGACTTGTCCCCCTGCCCCTCCTGGGCATAGTCCTTGCATGGCTCGCTCCCTCACACGGGCTGATCAGCCGAAGACACAGGGGACCCTCGGGGGGCCTCTGGCTCTGTCTTTGGGGCTCTCTCCTCTCTGGTGCCTCCTGCTCCCTGAGCTCTTCACTCTGTGCAGGAGTCCTCAGTGCAGGAGGACTGCTGGCCTCTGTCTGGGATCCTTGTACTTGAACTGTGGCTGGACGCTGTCCAGGCAGTGACCAGGTCAGCTGTCGGGCTCACCTCAGTTTCCCCAGCCTCAGGGCTTGCCTGTGCCCAGGCGCTGTGTTGTCCAGTCTCAATCTCTTATCTGCTCTGTAAGCTGAGGTGGGATGAGAAATTCGGTTCCTATTCCTCCGTCATGGCCAAACGCAGAAGTCCTGTTTGCATGTTTTGAAATATACGCTGTATGTACATTACACACTGGGAGGAGTTAGCAGGCACGTCTTGGATGTACACCTGCTGCTCCAGTGGCTGTATGTCCCGCCCTCTCCCGTGATCCTAGCTCAGAGGCCAGTGGTATTCTAAGTGGGTCACACAGCTCCCAGGCCTATCCCAGCGACAGCCGTCTCACCTGGCCGGCTTGTGATTCTAGTTCCCGTGTTTCTTTTTGGCCCAGCCTCCTGTCCAACATTCATTCTTTGAGACGAGCAAGGCCTCTGTTTTCTGTTTCACTTGTACAACTCCGACTTTGTTCCTCAGTTGGTGATACCCTGAGGTCCGCGAAGAAACATCCTGCTATGGTGGCTCTGGTCCCCTCAGAGCAGCGGGTCACCGTCAGGCATGCCAGCCTGTGCCGTTATTCTGTGCTTGTTGTTTTCTGTTTTACATTCTGTCCAGCTAATTTTCATATTTGTTTAGCAAATGTCGTCTTCATAAATTGTACTATTCTTAAAATAACCTGTAGTTACTGGGTCTTGAATTTAAAAAACAAGTTTCAAAGTTCAGTAAACATGGTCATAGTTACTTCTTTTAAAAATCCTTTTGGATTACAGTTTAAAAAGAAATTAGCAATCAGACTTCCAGGTTTTCATGTATAGTTAACTTCTTTGACCATTTGCGTACAGCTCCTGAAACTTCCAAAGTTCTCACTCTATTTGGTTAAACTATTTTGTATTCCATCAATCTAACAGGAATAATGCCTGTTACAGAGGTAATGCTGGAGGTTATTATTTAGGAGATGGAAACTGCCGTGCATTTAAAGCAGATGTTGTGCATTTTTAAAACAACCATATAGATTTTGAGCAGGGAAGGCTTAACAGGCGCTTAGAAATGTTTTTTTCTCCATGAACAAGTGTCACCAGTAGAAACTTGACACACCGCTACCAATTGTCACCATTTTCACAGGGTTTAAGACTTTTTTTTCTAATCTTCAGGTTTATGGAGACTGCTGCCTTCTTAACTCAGGGTTCTGGTAGCGGATTCATAAAAACATGATGTTCTTTTTTGTGCTCATAATTGTGTGATGAGGAAGTGACAGGTGCATGTGATGTGCATACACCGCAGCATCACTTGTTACATTATTTAATGTCTTCCTGAGGAGGTTTCCTACCAGGTTGGATGTTTGTGGAGACACCACAATGAGGGAGATGACAGAAGCGTATTTTCTGAAGGCTGGATTTTGAACCTTTCTGCCTTTCCTGCCTGTCCCCTCGGAGCTCAGTGTGTCCTGTTGTGTGTGTCGCAGGTCAAAGATGAACAGCATCAGTGTTCCCTGGGGAATCTGAGGATCCCTCTCAGCCAGCTGCTCACCAGCGATGACATGACCATGAACCAGCGATTCCAGCTCAGTAATTCCGGCCCAAACAGCACTCTGAAGATGAAGATTGCCCTCCGGGTACTGTGTCCACAGGAAGCACAGGAGGGGTGGGGAAGGGCCGCAGGTGTGCTGCCCGCAGGCACCGCCCGCAGTGAGAGCGGCCAGGGACACGGGGACAGCACATGGCACAGGACATAGGTGTGAGATGACCGCAGGGCCGGCGCCATGCCAGGGCTGACAGGAAGGTGCTGTTTGGAGAGCGTGGGTTATGCTGCATGTTGTGGGAGCTTGGGGGGTGGCTGAGGCTTCGACGCAGATGCGCGACAGAAGCTGCGTTTCCAGGTTGCTTGAGCAGGCCCAGGGTGCTTATTCTGCCCGCACGGAGCCAGCTGACCTGTGTTCTGTCCTTCAGCCCAGAAAGGATTGCTACGTGGATCAGCACAGTTTTCTGCTAAGGTTAAACTTTTAAAATCATTCAGAAGAGAGAACTTAATAAGACTCTACAAGATGGTAGAAATTACAGAAAAAAATTTGTCCAAAATAGACAATAATTCATTTGTAAGTACCTAGGAAATGTTGAAAAGAAAACCTGCAAACAAATTCACTAATTTAAAAAATGCAAACTAAAATGAAGAATCAATGTTTTTAAAGAGTTAAAGCAAACACTGTGTGGTGGGTGCAGTGGAAACGGTCTCCTTGAGCCTGGTCAGGGCCCTGGGCGTGCACAGTCTTTCCAGAAAGGCCTGCAGTGTCTCCAGTCCGTGAGTTATGAGCCCCATGGACCAGGGACCCTCCCTCGGGAAATCTGACTTTTTGTGATAATGCAGACTATGGGGAGGCCGTGAACATGAAGATGTTAGCTGTAGCTTTATTTTGTAAAAGTGGGGGAATGTCCAGCTATCACAGTAACCCCGGAATGAGGAGTTTAAGAGTACAGACTCTGCTCAGTGGAATATTATTCTGTTAAAAGTAAACGTTAACAGCTACAAAGTGAATGACCCACATGCTCTCACAAGCTCAGGGCACGAGGCTGTTCCTGCACTGATGCTGGGTATTTGGGAAAATCTTCCTGGGGAAAGGTATTTTTGACTCTCATCCTTCCCCAGGGTTGCTGGTGGAGACCACTTGTGTAGGACGAGGAATGAGATCACCAGCCTGAAACTTGGGCTCTTCCAGTGACAACATCACCTACAACTTTGCAGAAATGCATGCAAGTGGATGAGGCTAAAAATACATAGAAATGACATTTACGTCTCAGAAGTGATACTTTGATTATTTAAACTTTCCGTAATATTGTAGTACTTTAATAATAGAATAGCTGAACAGATAGACTGGATTCTTTTTAATGTTTAGTGCCAAGTTGTAGAGAAATATTTGCAAATAAATACTTCTACAGTGTTCATGTATCAGGCCGTTACCAGTGTCACTGAATTTAATTTCGGGTTTGTTTGCACCTCTAGGTACTCCACCTGGAAAAGCAGGAGCAGTCTCCAGACCACCAGCACTCGGCTCAAGTAAAGCGACCCTCTATTTCCAAAGAAGGGAGAAAAATATCTGTCAGATCTCAGAGGACTGCATCGCCTGTTGCTGGTAACAGCAACACAGCCCCGTCCACACCAGTCATAGGGGGCAGCGATAAGCCTGGCACAGAGGAGAGAGCTCAGCCTGTGGAGGCCAGCCCTCAGGGGCCGCGAGACCTGGGCAGAAGTGCCTCCAGCCTCCAGGTGGGCGCCGCCCTCTCCCCCAGCCACGTGTTTGTCAAGGAGCCCACCCCCAGCATTGCCTCGGACATATCACTGCCCATCGCCACACAGGAGCTCCGGCAGAGGCTGCGGCAGCTCGAGAAGTGAGTAGGTGCTGCTGATGCTCCTGGCGGGCTGTGGTCCCTACTTAGCCACGAGCCCGGGTGGCAGCAGCCTTTCACTCACTGAGTCACTTTCAAAGTCAAGCCTGCCGTTTTCTAGGGCCTCATATTTGGCTCAGTTAAGGATCAGAACACGATGGGGTAATGGGTGCCATGAACAAGAGAGGCTCTGAAGCTCCTGTGTGCCCGTCCTCAGACCAGGAAGGCAGAGGGCAGAGCTGACCTTTGAATCTGAATATGGTGACTGGCGTCTGCAGTGTAGGACTAAGGCCTGTGCCTTCATGTTTGGTCAACACCCTTTCCTGGTCCCGGTCGCTCTTTGTCCGTCTCTGGGTGTTGGTGTTGACTTCTTACGCCCCATGACTCATGACTGTGTTCAGGGTTCTTTAGATAAGGAGGCAAAACAGTGTGTAGTTGTCACAGCTTCACATGTTACCTTTTCCTCTCGGCGGAAGGAGCAAAGTTGCCTTTGAGACACTTCCTGCTGTTTGTTATTGTAGGGGGCGTATGAGGAGTCAGCAGTGGGGTGGAGGTGAGATGCGTGCCCGTGGAGGCTGGCTGGAGGCATGCGTGTGCAGCCCTTCCGTGACCACTCTCAGAGTGCACGTGTCTCCTTCGCACTTGTCACGTCCAGTCGTTTAAAAAAAGACACTAGTCCCTCCCTCTCTCTTATTACAGAAGGAAGTAGAATTTTAAATAAGAAACCACTTTTTCTCAGGAGCGAACTTTGGGGAGCTGCCGAGATGGTCTTGGGGGACACTGAGCCAGGCAGTCATTGGTTGTCTTGGAGTCTGTGCTTCAACCTTGAGAGAGAAATCGAGGCAGGTGTTGCGATCTCATCAGATGTCCGTCGTGTGGGGTTTTGAGAAAGGAAATGCATGCATGTGGCAGTGACGGCCCAGAGGCTACAGAACTGATGGGCCGTAAATGAAAAAGCTGCCAGCTTTGCGTGAGTGACACTGACCCCTAGCTGGAGTATGAATTCCACTGGTTGTCTTACATTCCAAGGTTCCTGTTACGTTTGAGTTCATGGCAATGTGACTTCTCCTGGTCTGCGTGAAGTGAACGTGACCTTACCGTGTGGCTGTGGCAGTGGCCCGGGACCTCGTTGGGTCTGAGGAGAGCTGTGACTTTCTGCCTTGCTTCCTCAGTGGGACGACGCTGGGACAGTCCCCGCTAGGGCAGATCCAGCTGACGGTCCGGCACAGCTCGCAGAGAAACAAGCTGGTGGTCGTCGTGCACGCCTGCAGGTGAGTGTCACCGGCCCCAGGGGTGTCACATGGGCGTCACCCTGGCTTCCCACACAGCTCGCTGGTTTCCTGTCTGAAGAACAAAGCAATTAGATGTACTGTAATTCTGGTACTCGGTTTTTGTTCCTTTTTTTATTCTTCGCATTGTTTCATAATCATTGTCTTTTCCTGTCCCGTTTGGTTGCTTTATGACACCCCCGTGAAGTGCAGTTTATGAGACCCTCCTGATGGTTGGGTGTTTAGATGGTCAGTGGTACATGTAACACGGTAATGATTTTTTTTTTTATTGAAGTGTTTTTTTGGATTAAATTTCTAGGAGTAAATTTTTATCAATTTAGAGGATCTGACCAAGCTCCTGGTATCACGGTGGGTGTGGCCATAGTCTTTCAACCGGCAACCAGCTGGCGTCATCGGCCTTCAGGGGTACGATGTGCTGCTCCCCACCCAGGATGTTTCAACTTGGGGCGTGTCCTGTGCCCCACGTGGTCGTGGGGTGACAGAGTGGCTTCTGTCTGTGTTTGGTCAATGATGGTGTGGAGCTGTTTTTTTTAATGTGACTTGTCTGTCTCCATAGTAGTTGTTATATAAATATATTTATGTAAGTATTTGGCTCTTAGGAAAAGCCATTGGAAACTTAGGAAAATAAAATCAGTGACATTTAGAAATAGGACTGTAAGTGTAGAGCTCAGTCTGTACGTGTTGAGCGCCTCATGTGTTTCTGCTACTGAGACAGTCACACTGGGACACAGGCACAGAAGGCTGTTCCAGGGGCCTCTGACTAAACAGCCCCAGCTGGATTTTCAGGCCCATCAGTAAGTGGATATTTTCAAGTGGTTACATATAATTGATATAAACGAGAGTGAAGTTCCTACGACATATTTCTGGTCTCAAAAATATCACCAAGCTTCTAAACAAAGACTGAAACACTTCTGATATTAAACATTGAAATGTGAGCTCTACATACATTTAGGTAAGATGAATAAAAACAGGTGAGATCATTCTTTTCCAACCTGCTTACTCCAGTTCAGGGTCTCAGGTGACTGGAGCTTCTCCCTACAGCTCAGGGCGCCAGGCGGGAAGTAGCCCTGAACAGGATGCCCTTCCCTCGTGGGGCCGTCCGCACCCGCACCCACACCCTCAACTCGCACGCACAACTCGCACCCACAACTCACACCCGCACCCTCAACTCACACCTGCACCCTCAACTCGCACTCGCACCCACACCCACAACTCGTACCCGCACCCACACCCTCAACTCACACCCACCAGACTGGAGCAGTGTAGACACGCCGCTCACCTTGCCTGCACATCTTTGGGACGTGGGAGGAAACCAGAGTCGCCAGAGAAAATGCTAAGTCCTCGGGGAATGTGCATACTTCACACAGACAGTGGCTGGTCGGGAAGCCGTTCTTTCCTCATCAACATTATAACAGAACGATGGTCCTCGAGGACCTGCTGTATGTAGTACATTTGAATGTGATGCTAATTGTCAGTTTCTGAGACTCTAATGTCTGTTGTTGTCTGGTTTGTATTACAAGAAATCTCATTGCCTTCTCTGAAGATGGCTCCGACCCCTACGTCCGCATGTACTTGTTACCAGATAAGAGGAGGTCAGGAAGGAGAAAAACGCACGTGTCCAAGAAAACGCTGAACCCCGTGTTTGATCAGAGGTATGGACCTTACTCAGCTGGGCCAGTGCCTCCGAGTGACCGAAGCGTTTAAGCCGCACATGGCTGAAAAATAAAGTGAGAAAAAGCCCCAGTTAGCAGACGTGAGCTTGGTGAGATGTGGAACCTGAGCTTTGTGTAGGAGCACTGCCCGTGACGGACAGGAGGTGCACATGCGGGCGGGGCGGCCAGCGATGAAGTAACGGCAGAAGGGTGGGTGACCCTAGAGAGCTGTCATTTGGGGGTTGTGTCTCTTGGTACTTACGGAGTTATAAACCAGAACTGAGAATATTAAAATGCATCTATTTTTAAAAATAACAATAATAAACCTATAACATCTTAAAATCCAACATTTTTATGAAACAATTAGTTTCCAAAACAGTTTTAAAAGTTAATGGCCAGAGTGACATTGTTTTTATTGTTTGACCTTTCTGCAGCTCTATCAGTGGCGTGGCTTGGTAGGGACTCCTGTCTGCTCCTGTCCCTGAGCTGTAGGGAGAAGCTCCAGTCTTTTTTTTTTTTTTTTTT